TTTATGGGTTTCATAAAATTCAACATCATCATGAAACTGCAGCTGAATTTCCACTATTAGTGCTTTTAAACCTCTTCACGGATTGTCATTTATTTCATTCTGACAGTTTTACTTCATAAAAATAATCAGCGACAGCTACTTTTATACTTATTTGTAAAACTTGGAGGGGTACATTTACCCAGTGATAAAAAACATAAAGGGCCTGTTCCAGAATTCATTAAAGTTCATCTGGAAAGCTTCCTATTGATATCAATAGGCTTTTGATTGAGTCACCCCCATTGACATCAATGGATTTGCAGGGCCAGCCCATGACATTTTGGCACTAGAAGCGGGGAGCTCAAATGATGCCCCCATACCCCCTCGCTTGGGCCAAAACTTTGAAAGGTCTCAATTCTGCCTTCTTCCTATTCTACTCCTTTCTTGGTACTGCAAAGAGAATACATATGCACCAGCAGCAGACACTATTTGCTACACTCTGGGTCCTAGTGGCACCTCCTCCCCCACAGTCTGGCACCTGAGGCGGCCGCCTCAGTTTGCCTCATGGTAAGGCCAGCCCTGTGGATTTGCATGGGTTTGACCGAGAGTAGAATTTGGCCTGAAATATTTTCATCATTTCCCACTCTCTCTCTTAGTTATATGCTGAACTTTTCTATAATTTTGTAGGGTCTGCATATTCACATCTTTGTTAGACTCAGACTCCATCTTCTCAATCTCTTTTTTTCTTCAGTATTTTTTTTTCTTTTGCCACATAATGATGACTGGAAATTTGTCCTTTGTAGAGTATAAAGGTGGTATTTTTTTACATTATATAAAATATAATAGAAATGTGATAAAATGTAAGTGGGGAATATGTTTTGGGGCTGAAGTTTAGGTGTGATATATCACATTCAGGCCTGAAGGTCTGATAAATTGTGCGGCATAAACCAGGCCATATTGTAAACATGTTTAGTTGTAGCAAGAGTTTTGGACATAATGGGAATGTTTTGGAAGGATGCTATCTATATTGACAGTTTTTGGAATGTTATTTATGCAGTTGTTAAAGACAATATTTAGCATTCAATAACCAATGAGGGAGTAGAAGGTATTTTAATTAAGGCAATGAAAATATAGATATGATGAAAGGTAGGCTTAATGCTAAATTAATCAAGAGTGTTATTGTACATTTTTTAAAGGATAACACGTTAATTTTAGATTATCATCAATGTTCTCTCTAATTTTTTCCATCTATGTGCAGATTTGTTTCCACCCAGATATGGAATAAATTTTGTTTTGTGCACTGAGATGTGTGAATGTGCACCACCAAGAAAAGCACAAACCAAGCTGTGGACACTCTGCTAATCAGCTGGGCAGCATTGGAATTTCTCCTGAGCAGCAGCATAAGCACAGAACTTACAGGGAACACTGATTAGCATGCTCATCCACCATGAAGGTACCATTAGAAAAATAATTATTTACTCATTCTTATTCAGGAAATGGCCGCCTTGGCTGTACCATTTAGTTTTAGAATGCAAGTATAAAAATGCAGCATATGGTTATTTCATAATTCCTGTTTGCTTTAACTAAGTATTCTATTTTAAATTTCTGTTTTACATGAAGTCTTTCATTCTATCACTTGAGGTGTCTTTCATATTCCTTGACTAAATTAAATGTATCTATAACCACCTCAGAGGCTCAAAACTCAAGGATTTAATTTGATTATCAGTATTGTTATTTATACTGAAAATACTAATGGAAAATCTTTATATGCCCAAAAGCTCACAACTGGACAATTTCAGACATCTGAGTGCAGTTACAAAAACATCAAAGCAATTCTGACCACTGAGATGAGGCCTTTCAACTCAAAGCAATAAAAGTTCTTTCCGCTCAATGTTAGTGGTACTGAAAATTCTCATTAGGATAAGTGAAAATTTTCAGAGTGGCCATCGGCAGAGACCTTTTGGGAGAATAATTATCACTATAGATCAATATGCAAAGCATGTAACTCATCAGAACATCTATAATGCCATAGTAGGGCCTGATCCTGAAAGATTTTGGGTGTAATAACCAGGTCAAAGTTTGCAGTGGGAGACAAAGTCCCGTCACAAGAGTCCTAAATAATTCTTCATATACCCTCTTTAACGTAGTATTCATCATTGTAGATAATCAAGAGTCAACTGGGTAATGATACCAGAAGATCAGGAGTAGAAGACAAACTGGGGATCAGAACTATTAGTCAGGAACCAGAGTCAAGACGGGTCAGGATGCCAGGAGATCAGAGGCAGGAAACAAACTAAAAGTCAGACCCAGAGTTACAAGGCACATAATCCTAACCAGAGTGGAGCCCAGTTGTTCAGCTTCCTGTTCCTGCTGCTGACTTAAGTAGAGCCAGTGGCCCAATCAGCTGCTCTAGCACTCTGCCAAATGAACCTCAAGGCAGAGCTTAACCTGGGGTTCATGAGTCTTAGGTAAATCATTGTCAGCAGACTGCCAAGTGGAGAGTTGGAATGTGGTTGTTTCTATGGCCTATGAATACTAGGATTTGAGCCTTGTGAGTCATGACACCAGGGACCTGCAGCTCTCATTGATGTCAATGAGAAGCTTGTGGATTTGAGTGAATGGAAGGCATCTCTAAGGATCAGGCATCTAAAATCAACTCCTATGCTAGTTAGCACAATGTACCATGTATCCTGTCCAGCCAATGTGAAATGTCAGACTCAAAGGTGGCAGCCTCTGATTCCTGGGTATAAATAAAAATTCACTACACACAATGAGCCATAGCCTTCTGGGCACCCATAATCAACCATTGCACATCATATCCTCACTAGAACAGCAGGGCTACGTCTACACTGGCATGATTTTCTGAAAATGCTTTTAACGGAAAAGTTTTCCATTAAAAGCATTTTCGGAAAAGCACGTCTAGATTGGCAGGATGCTTTTCCACAAAAGCACATTTTGTGGAAAACCGTCCATGGCCAATCTAGACGCAGTTTTCCGCAAAAAAGCCCCGATCGCCATTTTTGCCATCGGGGCTTTTTTGCGGAAAACAATACTGTGCTGTTTACACTGGCCCCCTTGCGCAAATGATTTGCGCATGAGGGCTTTTGCCCGAACAGGAGCAGCACAGTATTTCTGCAAGAACACTGATGATCTTACATGAGATCGTCAGTGTTCTTGCGGAAATTCAAACAGACAGTGTAGACAACTGGCAAGGTTTTCCGCAAAATCAGATGATTTTGTGGAAAATCTTGCCAGTCTAGACACAGCCCGCAGATGTATTAAGACACTTAAATAGAAAGCCTGGCCAAGTTCCCTCAGAGATGTTACTCCTAGAATAAAAGTCACGCAGTTTGGCATATATGATACACAGCTCCCTAGTTGCATGTCTTGGGTTAATGATGATGGATTTTAGTTTACGGCACCAAACTACATTAGCTAGAGAAAGGTCCAAGCCAACTTGGAACCAATGATCAGGGCTGTTTAGATCTAAAGTTTCAGTTTGGGCCAAACTCTAATATTACCTCTTGATGTAAAAATTGTCACATTGTAAAATCAGGCTATATACAGTTTTTGGTACATTATACCTCTTCAATACTGATTTCTATTATTTCTAATTCTTTATGTTCCCTCTTTAATGTAGCACTCATCATTGCAGATATTCATGATTCCCAGAAAGCAGTTCATTCAGATCTGTAGCCGTTTATGTTCTGGAAGGCAATCTTGGCTTGCTTGATTTATGATTTTTTTCCTCCAAGAGCTGCTGCTACAATTAAGCCAACGACTAGCACAAACATAGCAACAGAAAGCAGTACTGTGATCACTATCATTCCTCCAGCCCGCCCTATGAATGATCCATCATATGCCATGAAGGTTGTCACTAAAATATAAAGACAAAATACGTTTAGGGAGTTAAAGCCATCAGGGTAAATTTTTTCCAACCCAAATTTCCCGTTTGCATTATGGTGTGAGGATGTAAGTAGGTCTGTCAATCACAGTTAACAAAACAATGTAAAACTTTAGTGCCTATAAGCAGAGTGAAAGTAAGCCGGTGCACCATGGTACACCACTCCAGTAAGAAGGAGAAGGGTGGCTGGGGTGCTGGGCTGCAGGAAGAGGCAGTGCATGCTCCCAGCCCAGCTTCCGGGGCTCTGCTAAAGGCTGCTGCACTAAGCAGAAGGCAGCCATGCAGGTGAAAGGGGCTGGCTGGGGGCGCCTCTCCGTCTGGGACTGCCCCAGCTCTGAGCCATCCACCCCCCAGGTGCCCTTTAGGAGGAGGGAACTGAAGGTTCTCCCTCACCAGATTCATATAGGAAGGTTGCTTGCTCTTCCTCTGGCTGGAAAGAATGGGGCAGATGAGCTGAGCATTTTCCTCCCACTCCCTGGGCGTATCTAGATTACATGGACCAGTCGAAAGAGGATATGCAAATTCCACAGGAAAGTAATTAAGATGTGGTTTTTTTGGCGAACTGCCCCCTTCGTCGAAAAGCTGCTTTTCCTCAAAAAAGGAGGTTTACATGGCGTTTCGACAAAGGAGATGGGCTGCATCTAAACTACTTTCACTTTGAAAGCTCTGCTTTTGAAAGTGCAATTGAAAGATATGCAAATTCCCACGGAATTTTCATATCCTCTTTCGACTGTTCCCTGTAGTCTAGATGAGCCCCCTGATCGGGACAGAAAGGGGAACAGTAAACAGCTACCCCCTCCACACACACACACACACCCTGCGCCCCTCCTCATCCTAAACATTAAATCCTGAATCCCTACACTCCTAGTCCCCTACCCTGAACTCCCCACATCCTCACCCCCCTATGCTGAGACCCCGGCACTCCTTGAGCCCCTTCCAATTGAACCCACACTTAAATTTTTTACATCTACTGTTATATCACAACCCCCTCAACCTCCTGCCTTGAGGGCCCCCGCAGAGGATATTGCGATACGACAGTACCTGAAAGAAACTTAAGTTACTGTTACCCCTGCCTGCAAGTACACTCAGTCCTACTTCTTGTTCAACAAGATAAATAAGTTTGTTTATATTTATGGGTGTTAATGCTACCTGCTTCTCATTCATCTGAAAGTAAAAACAGGCATTTGCATTGACCTGTAGTAGTCAGTGTTACAGTGATATTTACATGCTAGATATACGAAACATTTGTGTGGTTCTTTGATTTGTAAGCTCGAAAATTTTCCATTCTTTGTTTTTAAATGCAGATCTATTAAAAAAAATCTACATCTGTAAGTTGAACTTTCATGATAAAGAGATTACACTACATAGTATGAGGTGAGTTGAAAAATACTGTTTTGTTTATCTTTTTACAGTGTAAATATTTGTAATAACAATAAAGTAAGCACTGTACACTTTGTCTTCTCTGTTGTAATTGAAATCAATATATTTGAAAATGTAGAAAAATATCCAAAACATTTATTATACATTTAAATTGGTATTCTGTGATCATTTAACAGTGCAATTAAAACTGATTAATCTTGCAATTAATTGCAATTTTTAAAAATAATTTGACAGCCCTACTATTTAGACATCTAAGCATGTAGTTTTTAGGTGTTCAGGTACGTAGGCCTTGCACCAGTTAAACTTGCACCAGTTAAATTGAAGTTATATGTGCAGTGCAATCAGAGATGTAATTGCAGGACAGACTAATTTACCAGCATTAGCTTTAATCTAGGTAGTGCAGCTAAAAGTAGCAGTGAAACATGAAAGTAGAATTCAGCAAAGGCTAGCTGTGACATGGCATCTGCCCTGCACTGGCCCTTTAAGGCTAAACCCAGCCCTGGGAGAGGGCTGAACACAAAGCCCCACAACTGAGGCTGATATTGCCAATAAGGGCCCAGCTGGGGAGCAAGAGGGATCTGGCAGTCAGGGAAGCTGGAGGCTGCCTAAGACAGAGCAGTTCTGGGGAGCTTTGGCTTGACCTCCCTCCCAGGCTGCCTGAGGTGTACTAAGGCTGCAAGGAAACAGCCAGGGCAGGAGAAGGCAGCAGGTTCACACCCCCTTGCTAATGATGAGTGGTGATTTCAGACTGCAGTTTGCCCCTGAGGTAAGGGGCTAGATGATGACTGGCAGTGGGTCACTGAGAGGCCAGGTGGGTTCCCTGGAAGGCAGAGACACCCCCCACCCCCACAAGGAAGCTAAGAGCCTGCTGGAGGGCAGTGTCCTGAAGAGGATGCCACAGTCTGGGAGTGACGTAGATCCAGAGTCTGACCTGAAGCAGAGCGGAGTGACGGGGGAGATGCCAGCCAGAGTGAGGTGCCCTGCTGCAAATCCAATTCCCAGTGATACTGGCATCATGGCATGAGGCACCGTGGCAGTGAGTCCTGTCCCGTGATGCTAGAAATAGAAGTATGTGCCCAGGATCCCTGGGATGCCCATGCTGCCACATACTGGCTGCTATTTTAGCCATACTAGCTTCATCAAAGCTTGTACAGATATGCTAGCCCATGCTGTAGTCACACCTCTGACAGTAAAGTCTTACCCTAAATGTTTGAGGTTTTTTTAAATCCATGATTAAATTGGTGCAGTCTCCAGGTGGAGTGTCTCTAATATGTCAATTCAGCCAAGATTCCATTTTTGCTAATTCAATGTAAGTCAGGTATATATCAGTTTAAGATTGTCCTGACCAAACTTTTTTATTGGTTTAACTAAATTCATTCTTAAACCAGTTAAACTCATGCAACTTTGTGTGAAGATAAGGCATTAGATGTCTAACCTACTGCAGGAAGCTATTGGTTAGTTATTTTTAAATCTCAAACAGATTAATTATTAGTTGCTATTATTTAACCTTTATATTGTAGTGATGAATAAGATTAAATAAGACTAGAGGCTGCTTCTCACATGATTTCCACTCCTTTGTAGTCCTTTTTACACCTGGGTAAATTAACTGCAAAGTGTATATAAAATACTTCCAGGGTAAAAGATTATGCAAGATACACTGTAGTGGAGAATCCAGTCCCAAGTTTCTGCACAGTGCTATGAACTGGACAGAGAAAAGCTAGTATTAAAATACCTTTAGCAGAGCATATTATTATCCTATAACTGGCTGATTTTATGAGTCTGAATGGCAGGAGCTTAATTACAATACCTGAAGTAATTTTTTTCATGATGTTTGGGACTCACCATTGTTCGTTTGTATGACATCTGACCAGCCTGTGTGTGCTCTTATTACCGCTTTTTCATCCAAAATAAAGAAATTTACCCTTAAATAAGCATGAAAAAATAAACATTAGATGTTATATTTATCAGGATCATACAAAATAGCCTTGTATGTCTAGTTCAGTTGTTAGCTTTGGATGGTTTTTAAACCTAGGATAATATTGTCCATCATAAACAATAGCAACCATTTTTTTATGATAGAAAATGGCTGTCACTGCCTGTTCTCTGTTTTCATAAAGTAGGACCTTCTCACTCCCATCCCACCATTACTTGAAATGGTTCCTTATCAAGATGGGCACATGTCCAAAATGCTGAACTGGCTTTAGGTCTAAATCTCACTTGCATTTGAAGGGTGGGTTTTTGGACCCAGTGTTTTGGTTTGGGTCTCTCATTGTTTCTTATTCACCTAAGCAGCTATGCTCATTTTTCAAAATTCAGCATAGCTTTATTCCTCCCTTTCTTTTGGACTTCATACCCACTCATTTTCTTCTGTCTTCACATTCCATTCTTAATTCATCCGAGTAGGTGGAATTCTCTATTTAATTTCTCTCAACTCAGTGTGTGGGCCTGATTCAAAGCCCATTGAAAACATTGGGAAGACTTCCATTGAACTTGGTAAGTTTTAGGCCAGGACCTCATTCCCTACCTATAACTTTTTGCCTGAATTTACAGTTGTAACTATCACTTATGGTACTTGGTAATGAGGAGAGGGTTCTAAAGATAATGCATTGGAATTACATAAAGCATTTTGATTTTCAGAAGAAAATACAATAAGAAAAATAGAAAAACAATGCATGCATGCATGCATTGCATCTCCATAAGCTGGCATTGTGCACTCAGATGCCCATATGTGCTTGCAAAATGGAAACTCACTCCATTTTTAAGGCTATGTCTGCACAGCACTTTTGCCAGTAAAACCTTTATTGGTCGGTTGTGTGAAAAAACACCAATGCTTGGGATGGTTTTATTTTGTCAGCAAGAGAGCTTTCTCCTGCCATCAAAGAGTCGCAATGTTACGTACCTTCCCACAGCATTAAGTTGCACAATGTAGAGACAGCCGCACTTGTCTTAGCCTCAGCGTAAGTTAGAATGGTATAACTTGTAATAGTTGACTATGAACTCTAAGGCTTATCTATTCAACATGGCTGTGAACTAGAAGAGTTTGATTTCCAAAGTGAACCAATGTGTTATGCACTGACCTGCATAGACTCTGTTGATGTGTACTAAATACACCTTAGTGCACATAATCATAGATCTGTTTCAAACAGCACTCAGTTACTGCACATAAGAGAACTTTTAGTTAACACCAGCCAGGTCTATGTGGGTCAATTAGTGCATGACATCTAGGTGCACTTTAGAAATCATACCCTCTAGCACCGTGGTCACGAACCAGTAGATCGCGATCTACCAGTAGATCTCAGGGGCTCCAAGAGTAGCTCTTGAACCCTCTCTGAACTGCGCACCTGCGCAGTACATTTACATTAGATTTCCTCATGTAATATAGGCGGGGCTTCAAGGAAGGGGCGGGGCAGTAGATCTTCGCCTGTTCTGAGACTTAAAAAGTGATCTTGGGTGTAAAAAGGTTGGAGACCACTGCAGTCTAGCATGAACTGCTGCCCCATGTACATCAGCTGTAAAGAACAGTAATCAGCTGTGAATTTGGAAGAATTTTTTCAATTCCCCAGCACATCATCTAGTCTGTAGTGGAGATTGGTTGGCTGGCAAGGGTACCAGCTTTATGCCAGATCTGAAACTCCACCCTACTCCCTACAAGTGGAATTCTCAGCTAGAGCTGGGTGAGAAATGATTTTCCTATCCTGCAAAAACTGTTCCCATCCCATATCAGGACAAAAACTCAGTCTCAAAATTGTTGCAAACCAGATATCTGAGGGTAGAGGTTTGTTTCATTTCAGTACCTTTGAAGTGTTTCCTACTGACTTTGATCCTTTGAATATTTTTAAATGTGCTATGATTATCATAACAATGTGGTTTCAAACCAGAAAACTGGCTATGGTTTTGCTTAGAAAATGTCAAAACAAAACATTTTCATAATTTCAAAACTCTGTCAACGTTTTTTGAGTTCAGATATTTGTCAAAACTGATTAAACACTAGGAACCATGAGTCAGAAGTAAGTTGCATTTTTTGGAATGCACCTCTCCTGCCCTGTATAGGTCAGTTATTTCAGCTACAATTCAGGAAACAACTCTTAAACAACCCTGAGCCTAGCATGTTTAAAAAAAAACAATCTTTTTTTATATTTGCTAAAGAAAGAAAACCCTCTTGTGCTGTAATGTTGCCAGCATCTGCTTGTGTGTGAGCACTGACTTATCAAAGTTTAATATTTTAGTTGGCTCATACAGTACCTGTAAACCGACGATGGCTGAAGGGCTTGATTGCAGAAGGGACCTTTAGTTTTTTCACAGACTTCTACCCCCACCTGGTAGCCTACGACTGTGGTCAGCTTGTAGTTCCCATCATCAATGTCCATGCTCACAAGATCCCTGGCTATCCTACATGAGACACTCTTGAATTTTTTTAATATTTTAGTTGGCTCATACAGTACCTGTAAACCGACGATGGCTGAAGGGCTTGATTGCAGAAGGGACCTTTAGTTTTTTCACAGACTTCTACCCCCACCTGGTAGCCTACGACTGTGGTCAGCTTGTAGTTCCCATCATCAATGTCCATGCTCACAAGATCCCTGGCTATCCTACATGAGACACTCTTGAATTTTGAAGAGTGGAGGGATTGGATCTGATTGGTGTCTGTCACAGCTTGAAAAAGGACAGCATAAAAACTACACTTTAATCACATGACAAATCAATGCAGCAAGACCATAACCTATTACCAACTCTGTGGATACTAAAGCCTCAAGTATCCTATACACGGGAGTAAGGAACCCTAAGGTGCCCCTTTCTATCCCCTGTGTAGCAACATGGGGTGCAGTGTGTGGAAGAAGTAGTACCTGGAAGTAGAAGTTATTCCCTCATGAGTGTACATAGGCAAGAAGTGGATAGAGCATTGGCACAAGATGAGCTGTACATCTAGACTGCAAGCTTCTTTTGAAAGAAGCGTTTTTGAAAGAGCTCTTTTGAAAAAGCTTCTTTCAAAAGAGAGCATCCACACCTCAAAACCAGATCAAAAAAGCGATCTGCTTTTTCGAAAGACAGTGTCCAGACTGCATGGTCACTCTCTCAAAAGAAAGCCCTGATTGCTATGCACAGAATGGCCACCAGGGCACATGTGCTTTTTTTATTGACTCTTCTTTTGAAAAATGTCCATGTTCTGCGTCTACACACGCCTTTTTTTGAAAGAGCTCTTTCGAAAAAGGCGTTCTTACTCGTAATTTGAGATTTACCAACGTTGAGAAAAACCCGGCATTCTTTCGATTTAATTTCAAAAGAACGCAATTGCAGTGTGGATGCAGTTGAATTTTTTTTTTTTTTAAAAGGGCTTTTTTTTTTTTTTTTTTTTTGAAAAAACAATGTAGTCTAGACATACCTAGAGAGGGGAAAGTAGGTTGCAGGGGAAAAGGTTGGCACAGCTTATATCTTCCATGGAGCAAACAGGAAGCAGGATCTGAGTTGGGATTTAGTCATAATTCAGTCCCTGTTCTTTATTCCTGGGCCAGAACAACTATGTCCTGCTTCTTTCCCAGGGACCGAGTGCAAGGTACAAGTCCTTGTCTGTACTAATAAGGGAAGAAGGGATATTGTGAAACTAGAACTGAAAATTGAAACTGATTTTTCTCTCCCAATATTATAGTGTGCACATAATTCACAGCCCCCAGCCATGATGCATGGACAAAGCAACATTGTGACTAGCCAGGGGCTGCAGTAGATGTATGGACAGAGCAGTATGGGCATCTATAGATTGTGAACTGGGTAACAAGACTACTTGCAGGAAGAACGGACAGAAAAAACTTCAATGAAAATTGTCTTTGAAAAAATATTTCACTTTTTTTCTTAAACAAAAATTTTCTGACTAGTTGTCCCTAAGAGCCACAGCCATGGTCAGGGAGTTCAAAGCAATTATAGGACACAGTTATGGTGCCTACATCCTTGCCTTACAAAGTCACGGAGGATGCCCACACAAACCGAAGGGTGGGAACTGGAATAGAGGAACAAGAAAAGCCCATTCAAAAAGGAGCAACAGTTTAGTTTTAAGAACCAGAAATAAGAGGGAAAGAAAAGCAGATGAAAAGGAGAAGAAAGAATGGAGACATGAGAGAGGGCATGCCAGAGAGGGAGAACAAATAGGAAGGAAAAAAAAAAACATGTGTCAGAACAAGGCATGTGGATATAGGTGGAGGCCAGATAAAAGTGATTATTGGCCAGTGCATCACAAAAAGGATGGCAGCGTGCGCTCAAAAATAATTGGGAATTATTCTGCTTTAGGTCCTTAGCACCTTTAAGTGACACTTTCTAGTGACCCTGGCATTGAACATTATGGAACAATATGCAAAAATGACACAGAACTAGCCTGGATTCCATTAAACTCAATACTGAAATCCAGCCAGGATTACTACTATACAGCAGACTTCTGATAATCCGGCACCTTTGGGACCCAGGGGGTGCTGGATTATCGGATATTCCGGAGTATCAGGAGGTACTCCGGCAGGGGGGCAGTGAAGTGTCGGGGGGGAGGGTAAGGCGGGGAATGGCACGGCGTGGGGCAAACCAGGTGCCAGTGAGGGGCAGCGCTGCAGGACCAACCCAGCAGCACCCCAGCTGCTCTGCCCCAGGGCTTCCCCAAGTCCACCCCTGGTCACAGCGGCGGACTTGGGGAAGCCCTGGGGCAGAGCAGCTGGAGTGCTGCCAGGTTGGCCCGGCTCAGGGGTGGTGCTATGGGACCAACCGGGCAGCACCCCAGCTGCTCTGCCCCAGGGCTTCCCCAAGTCCACCCCTGGTCACAGCGGCGGACTTGGGGAAGCCCTGGGGCAGAGCAGCTGGGGTGCTGCCCCTCACCTGAGCGGCACTGCGGGACCAACCCGACAGCACCCCAGCTGCTCTGCTCCATACCGCCTCCCCAGGTCTGCAGCTGGTCAGTTTCAGCAGTGGACTTGAGGAAGCGGCGTGGAGCAGCTCCAATTGTCCGGCTGGCCGGAGCACTTCCGGGTTCCATTTGGTGCCGGACTATTGGGAGTTCTGGACCACTGGATGCCGGACAATTGGAGTTTTACTGTAGTGACTAGAAGTCATTGCTATCTGAAGGCAATGGATTGTTTGATGTGATCTGCTGGTATCAGTTCAGTTGCTGCTGAACAAGTGGCTCTATTTAAAAAAAAAAAAAAAAAAGCTACCTAACCATAATTGCCCACCTTTTTGACAGTCCCACTAAAAGGCAAGGATTGATGGGCATGTAGATCAAGCTGCCCTGTCTCACATAGAAATTGTCCTGAGTCATGGTTGAATCACATCAATGAGGCATCGAGGAAGCTTGCAGTGTTGTTGCTCAGACTCTCTCTGGTGTTCTGTGGCTGTGTGGAGGACTTTGGCTTTTGAGGCTGTCAGTTTGTCATGCTTTATAAGCAATAAAACAAACGACAAGTTAAAAGAATTGACCCATCAAAGAAAGAAAATCAAGAATACTTCATACCTGGCATAGCAACTTTATCACCAACAATCGCTACTGCAGGTCTAATCGTGGTGGGTGTGAATTGAGAGGAAGAAATACACTTTGGAATATTAACAATGAAGGATGTACTCATTCTTGCTGCTAAAATGAGGCTTGCATTTGGAAAGAAATCTAGTGCTGAAAATGAAGGGGAAAAAAGAGTGTTAGAGCAAATTTGTTTCTATGTAAATACATGATGATCAGGAAATTTAGCTAATGGATATTCGTATCATAAAGCTGAAGGGGACATAATTTTTTATTTTCATCGACTTTTTCAGGTTGAGGGGTTGATGAAAAACATAATGATTCAACAAAATGGAAAAGTTTTCAAAGAACTTTCATTTAATTGAAAAGCCATTTTGTATTGTAAAAATGTTCTGATGGACAATTTTGGAACAGCTTTGCTATTTATCTTGTGCTATTTTTTCTTTTCTTATGTTTTTATTGCTTCCAGCACTCAAGGAACAAGGTCAAATATTTAGGAGAGAATTTTAGTTATTTTAATTAGATGACTGCACCCATGAAACTTTGGTTACTGGTTACTACTAAACTAACTAAACTGGTTTTGAGTTCTTCTCTGGGTATATATGTGGCTAGGCACACTGCAGAGGCCTCTCTTGTGTGGGGCATACCTCATCTTGTTCTGCCACAACCCTCTGATGATATAAAAAGCAATAATTATATCTATGTTGAAAAACTTCCTAACTGTCAGGGTGGTTAAACATGGGAATAAATTGCCTAGGGAGGTTATGGAACCTCCATCACTGAAGATATTTGAGAGATGTCTATCCAACCTGCTATCAGGGATGATCTAGATTCTAGACAGTGCTTGGTCCTGCCTAGAAGGAATGCGCGAGGGGTGGTAAAACCTCCACCATTCCATTTTTCCCTCAGCTGCTGAGATGTATGTGTTTTTGCTACTAGTTCACCTCTCCTCCAGTCTGCTTTTCAGTCTTCTTCCCTGCAAATAGTCCTAGCACCTTTCATTGCTGATGCCCACTACTTTCCCAAGCAGCTGCAGAATGAACCTCATTTAATTCTTATTAGCTACATTGTTGCCCACATGGCTTTGAACTGCAGCTATGAAATCTGAGGTGGTCAGTGTTTACTTGGTTGCTGCTTTGAGGGATCTCGAAGCAGCAGCAGAGGCACTGGGGCTGTCTGACAGCCAATTTAGGAAGACAGCATTGCACTGGCTTACATTATTTTCTGCATAACCATTCATCCAGAACCTTTAAAATAAAAAAACAATTTTAGATTTTTCAGAAGCTGTTGCCAACTCTCTGGGAAATTTTCTTATTTGCAGTTAGACAATTTAGTTTTCAAGCTCTGTGTGTAGATATTCTATGGAGTCAGTAGCAGGTCAGTTTATAGTGAGAGGCACTTGTATATATAAGCATTAGTATTATAGATAGTTTAAACATCAGCTTCTATAAACTTAAAATCAACTCTTTATATTTTTAATAACATCTTTCCTCCCCACTAAATAGGGTTTCAGCTACTTGTTATGCCAGATGCCAGCTTAATTATACAGGTATCACACAATTTAAAACTGCAATATGGAAAATAAATTGTATGTTTTTAGGGCTGGCTGTTCCCAGATGTCACAGAAGCTATCTGACAGGAGGCTGCAGTTTAGTGGGGTTGTGTGTATCTTTTAATTCCATGAGAACGCATGTTGATTTCAGTGAGACAACTCATATGCGTAAAGTGACGCACATGTTTAGTATGTTGCTGAACTGGGGCCTAAAACGAATGTAACAGAGTGGAGAATCAGGCCTTTAATATTCTCTAATGCAGGGGTTCTCATCCTTTTTCTCTCTGACCCCCCTCCCACCCACACACACACACCCACACACATTTCCCTGGCCTAAGCTGTGTGGCAGCACAGCCCCACAGTTGCTTAATCAGC